GAGGGACGAGAACAAGAAGAGTGAATGCGAGGGGGTGTGGGGAGGAGGGGGTAGCAGTAAAGTCGCTTCTGGTAATTGGAGTGCAGCATGTGAGCTCCGAATGAGCTTGAGACTAATAGCTTGGCGGAGAGGGAGATGGAGAGGCAGGGAGAGGGGGTCTTCGCCGTCTTCACACCGCGTTCATACACGGTTGTCTGCCGCCGCTTCCGCTCCCGGCGGGGTGTTCCGCTGCCAAAAGACTCTGACGTACATCTTTCCTTTCCCTCCCCAGGTCGTGGCCTCCAGTATGTGGATGATGCTGGAGACACTGCTACTCGGCGCCTTGCTGATGCAGACCGCGGTAAGTGCGACACACCACCAGTTGTCACCACTTTGTTTTTAATATTTTTGTTTTCAACTTGACTTCCAACATTTTTTCAACACATAATGTTGTTCCTTTTTTTGTGGGTTTTAACACAATTTTCTTTTTTACCGCTTTATTGCAGGTGGTGCTGCGCTTCGTGGAGCCCAGCCTATGGATGTGCCTTCTGGAGCCGTGGTGCCGCGAGATGGGCTTTGTCGTCTGCTACGGCTCCATCATCCTCAAGCTCTACCGCATCCTGGTGGAGTTCCGGACGCGCAAGGCGCACCGCTGGGTGCTCAAGGACCGGGACCTGCTGCGCCACCTGGGCGCCATGGTGCTGGCCGTGTTCGCGTACCTGGCCGCGCTCACCGCCGCCTCGCTACACTTCTACAACGAGGGCTTCCAGCTGCTCGACACCGTGACCACGGACGACGGCATGGTCTACCCGCACTGCAAGGTGTTCTGGTGGGATTGGGTCACCCAGGCGGGTACGTACCTCTCATTAGATAAATTAGCTAACTAGCTAACCAACTACCTAAAAGCTGCGAAGCTAAAAATTTAGCAATGTAGCCAAAAAGCTTGAAAGCTACAAATTTAAAAGTAGCTAAAAAATATTAGCTACGTACCTAAAAGTTAGCTAAGTATAGGTAAAAATTTCGCTATGCGGCCAAACATGCCTACATTTTCAGCTATCTAAATAATTAGTAATCCCTCATTTAGCTATTGTTTTAGCTACACATAGCTAACCGTTGTTTTAATCTTTGCAGCGGAGCTGGTGAGCCTGTTCGTCGGCATCCACCTGGCGTGGGTGTCGCGGTCGTTCCGGACGCAGTTCAACGAGCGCGCGTTCCTGTGCGCGGCGCTCTTCGTCGAGCTCATCGCCAGCACGGCGCTCTACGTGGGCCAGGCGGTGCGCGTCGCCACCCGGACGGCCAACCTGTCCCCCACCACCGTCCTCGTCTTCTACTTCATCCGCGAGCAGATGTCCGTCACCATCGTCCTCGGGCTCGTCTTCATCCCCGTGGTAAGGACGGGGTGCTCATGGGTTCGCGGCCGGGGCCCTTTCTCTGCACGGGAAGAAATAGAGTAGCAGTAGAACCAAAGCCTGTGGCAAACTACGAAATAACTTATTATTTAGCTATTTACCAAAAAATCAGCTACAACCTAGCTGTAATGATAAATTAAACAGCTACATATCTCATTAATTGGTTACCCCGTGTTTCGCTTTTAGCTTATTAATGATCATCCAGAAAGTACGTCCGCCGTCATCTGCCAAGTTCAGACGACGCTGCAGGCTCTCATAACGCCTGGTAGATAGGCAACATCTTGCCTGTGGTGCGTGCGCGTGCTGCGGGCTGGCCTACCCCGAGTCTCGCAGGCGCCGTGCTCTTAAACGAATCAGTGAAAAACGGACGTACTTTCAAGGCATTCGTTAAAACTTTTTGGAGCGGGGCTAAATATGTAGCTACACAGCCACGCGGCTACTTTAGGGGGGTATACACAGAAATTTTTCTGCTGCTACATAGCTAAATAATTAGTTATCCCGTAATTAGCTGTTGGTTTAGCAACTAGACAGCGAATCTGAGGGCCGGGCGAATCTGACGGCGGGTTCCTCGTGTTGCAGCTGTGGCTGGCGCGGCGGCAGCCCGCCGCCCGGAGCCTGCTCCCCACGCTGGACAACCTGGGCAAGCCCGCGGACGGCAGCAGCTCCGGGGCGGGCACCGGCTTCCACTCGAGCGACGTGGACGTGACCGAGGTCACCCTCAAGGACATGAACCCGGACGACATTCGGGTGAGTTTGGCGGCCGGGCGAGACGAGAACGTCCTGCTCTGCAGCTATCCAAGCAGCGTGATAAAATTGGCACACATTTCAAAATCAACGCCTTCCTACATCCAACTCCCAGTTTACGTAGTTTTTCGGACTGAATTCTACTTATTTTGTACGAAATTTAGCATGAAAAAATTGAGTTTTTGGGGTTCCATGACAAATTCATGGGTGACATTAACATTCATGGTGGGGTAACTTTAGCATGTCATCCAAGTTGAATTTCCGTCAAAATCTGACCCTCTAGTAGCTGGAGTACCGTGAAAAATACACCCCATCCTTTGAAAACTGCCCCCCC